AGGGGAGAGCCGGCGCCCCGGGGCGCGGGACGGCGCCGCTCACCCGGCGCGGAGCTCTGCGGAGGAGCCGGGCTGGGAGCAGCGCCCGGCAAGGCAAGCGCCCGGCGGTGCTGCCCCTGGCCCAGGGGGAGAAGGGAAGCTGGGGCCGGGGGGCAAGAAGAGGTTGCACTGATCACCAGGGAGCCTGGTTTCCTCTGATTAAAAAAAAAATAAAGAAAAATTAAAGAAAGTAACCCAAAATCCACGTTTTCCCGTGATTAAAATCAAACACCAGTAACACACACACACAGATACACACAGATATAGTTCATGTACACACAGATATATAACTATAGATATAGATATATTTCATACACGCACACAGATAGATATATATATAGGTATATTTCATACACACAGATATATATACAGAGAGAGATTTCACACACACACACACACACACACACATATATAGATATATTTCATACACACACAGATATAGATAGATAGATAGATAGATAGATAGATTTCATAGACATTCGGGCTGGAAGGGACCTCATAACATCATCGAGTTCAGCCCCCTGCCCCAGGGGCAGGAAGTCAGCTAGGGTCAAAGGATTCCAGCAAGATAAGCACCCAATGTTTCTTTAAAGTGTCCAGAGTAGGTGCTCGCACCTCTGGGGGGAGTCTATTCCTCTTGGGAGCTTGGACAGTGAAGAAGTTTTTCCTTATCTCCAGCCTAAAACAGTCTTACAGGAGTTTGTAACCATTGGACCTTGACATCCCTTGGGGTGCTCTGGTGAACAGGTGTTCCCCCAGATCCTGATGCGCACCCCTTATGTACTTGTATGCACACCCCTTATGTACTGTCACCAAGTCACCCTGAGGCTGCACTTCTCCCAGCTGAAGAGTCGCATAGCTCGCAGTCTCTCTTCGTAATGGCATGTTATGTAATGGTGTTTCATTTTGATCCTGGAAAAATGTGGATTTTGGGTTACTTTTTTTAACCCCAAAATTTGGGGACTTTTTTTAACCAGGGAAAACCAGGATCCCTGCCTAGGTTCAGAGGGTCTGAGGGAAGTAGGGCTGGAAGGGACCTCTCAAGGTCATCCAATCCAGTAATTCTCAACCTATTTTGTTCCACGACCCATTCGTAAACATTGATGGCCAGTCCTGACCCGGTGCCCCTCATTCCCCACCCACTTCCCTCCACCCCCAGCCTCCCAGTGTGTGGGGCAGAGGGTGGGTATGTGGGGCATGGGGACCCCCAAGCAGCTTCTTGCAAGCTGCCAACCTGCAAGAGGAAAGCCATGGTTTCCCACGTTTTTCTCCTTAAAAGGAGAATCCATTTTTAAAGTTTGTTTGCATATTCTTGTGACCCATTTTTGGGTTGCAACCCACAGGTTGACAAACACTGATCTAGTCCAGCCCCCTGCTCAAGGCAGGAGCATCCCTGAATAAACCATCACAGCCAAGTGTCTGTCTAATCTGCTCTTGAAAGTTTAAGTATGGAGAATGCACAATTCTGTAGGTCAGCATTTCTCAACCCATGGGTTGCAACCTGAAAGTGGGTGGCAAGAATGTATGAAAGGGTGGTGAACAAACTTAAAAAATGGATTCTCTTTTAAAGGAGAAAAATGTGGGAAACTGTGGCTTTTTCCTTTTAGGCTGGATGAGTTGCAGCCTACATGGGGCTGCTTGGGGCTCCCCAGGCCCCATGCACCCACCCCTGTCCCACGCACTGGAAAGCTGGGGCAGGGGGCAGTGGGTCAGGATCAAGAGGCACCAGGTTGGGACTGGCCACTGATGTTTATAAATGGGTTGTGGCACAAAAAAGGTTGAGAACCACTGCTCTAGGTAGTCTGTCATAGTGCCCAACCACTCTCACTGTTAAAAAGTTCCTCCTTATCTCCAGCCTGCTGCAGCTTGAGGCCATTGCTCCTAGTCCTGTACGGATTGTGGAGGTTTTTGCTTTCCTTTGTAACCCTACAGTCACAGAGAAAAGCCCTTCTCCATCTTTTCCATAATCTCCCTTCAGATGCATGGGTGGATCTAAATTTGGAGAAGGTAGGTGCATGGGCTGAGGTGCCGTATCCTTTATAACACAACACACCATTTCCTCCTGGCAAAAAGAATCAAGAAGCTTTCCTTATCCACCGGGGTCTAGGGCTTCATGACTCAGTTTAACCTTATACCAAAAAAAATGCATCTCCATTCATTGGAATGAGCTAAAAACAATTGGCCAGGCTGTGAAATAGGAGCTTCATAGGGAGGAGCAGCAAGCAGGCAGCAGCATGACAGAACAAAGGCTGGCTGGATGGCGGGGAACAGCCAGAACATGAAAAAGAAGAGAAGACCCTTAACACCTGTGAAGTGAAGAGTTTAGAAAGGATCCTGTAGAAGAAAATGAGCCATCAAGTCAAGTGACTCCCTCACGGCTGCTTGACTAGAAATGCTTCTGCCACTGCCAGGCAGCTGGTTTTAAACTCTGGGTGCAGCAGGAA